CTTTAAAGAAGATGCATTTTAACTAATAATGTTGTTTACCAAATATATTTATAAAGCAAGAAAGAGGATTAAAACACTCACCCAATTAATTTGAAAATATTATGAAAACATATCTCATCGTTTGAGACCATTGAAATATAAGCTGAGTTTTTAACATCCGTGGCCACATGCACTAAATATTTCCATGTCTTTCGGGGCAAATCTAAATGATTTTCAAGCAGATTAGAGAATGTTTGCAAGTTTCAACAATGCATGATAACAATGGCTTCAAAAAGAGCTGGTAACACTGAAGTCGATCAGGAATTGTTACCAGAAAGAAGTTGAAGGATTTTTAATACAAAAATTACCCACTTTCAGATTCCTCATTGTCCTCTTCTTTGCAAACTGATGAGTTTGTGGTTGGTTTAGCAGAAGCTGATGACTGGAGCTGCAAAAAATGAAGCACTAGTGTTAAAAATCATTTCCGATGTGATTGTGAATCATATAATCAACAAATTTTTTAGTTTGTGACTTTGTGTTCCAAGTATTGCTTGAGAATATAGAAATTTGGACTTTTTCTTTAACCGTCAAGCCCAGACTCATGGAACAGGAATAGAAACTAAAGTTAGTCTGACATAAATTTATTACAAAAAATGTTAGAATCTTGTTTCCCTATTCCATTTTCTAAAACCCAAGTCATAATGAGCCCAATCCTTCCAAAACAGTTAATAATTTGGAAATGAAAGTGCAGTGATTAAAGAAAGATCAATCAAGACCCACATTCAGCACAGGACTCCATAGAACAACAGTCCAAGAAAAATTTTAACTTTTTCTTAATAAAATTTACACTTTCCAGTCTAAGAAAAATTTCAACTTATTCCTAAATAAAATTTACACTTCCCAGAGTAAAAACATCTGGACAAAATAAGTAGTACCATGTATAGTTGTATACACACTCAAACATTCGTACAGAAATTTTCAGTTCTAGGCTGCTAGTTTACAGCCTAGAACTGAAAATTAAAGAAAGTAAAGAAATACACAAATTTAGGTAGTAGTAGAATCAACCGGGGCTACTCGGGACAATTTTGAACGTTTTTCATTCATAACTTCTTACCATGAAACATTTCATAAACAAGTTTAGGCTCATTTCAGAGCTCTTTGCAAGGGCTATCACATGGCTTCTTCAAAAAAATTCCATATGCTATTCGTAAGGTGCCAGAAGCAAAAAATGAGTGTCCCGAGTAGCCCCGTCAAATGGGGGCACGGGGCTACTGGGCCCTGGGGACACTTGGAAATTGGAATAAAACTTCATTTTAAAACATTTGAAGCATGCAGAGTGTACTGACTGTACTCATCCATTACTAACAGTACCTGAAGCAGGCAAGGAATATATCTACTTGGCAAGCCGCAACTGAATTTTTTGAGCCGTGGTTTTATGGATTTCCAGCCATGATTCCATTTCTTTGAGCCGTGATTCTATTTCACCGAGCCGTGAATTCCATATCTTGGCCGTGAAAAGCCATTTACAAGGTGCAAATTTATTTACAAAGTCCATGCATGCACGGGTTACCCCAAATCTCTAATTGTACCCTAAAACAGTCAAATGGCAAGAATCAAATTTGTCTTTACTGTAAGTTGAGCATGTGTTCATGCAGTCTGACTGCAACTAGCATGTGCAGGATGTGCTATCTTCAACAAAATGTCTAGTTGATTAACTTGATTTGTTTACATTACAATGTATATGTTTTTTCTGCAGGATATTTTGGTGGGAACGGTAAAGTAATGCGGATTGTGCAAGTTGAAAATTCAATGAAATGACATGTTTGCGAAGTGCAAACCGCGATTTTTCAATCAAACAAAAATTTATGACATTCAAGCCACGAGATTTCATACCTACTGAAATTATATGATATTAGAGCCGCAATATTTAAGACAAAAATAGGACCTTTCCAGCCCTGCTCTGAAGTCCTCCTCTACCTCTCACCACACTCCCCACTCACAGCACACTCCCCGCTCACAACCTCACACCACACTCCCCACTCACAGCACACTCCCCGCTCACAACCTCTCACCACACTCCCCACTCACAACCTCTGACCACATCCCACTCACACCACATCCCCACTCACACCCCATCCTCACTCACAATTTCTTATCCTTATCGACGGCATCAAACTTGGCTCCCTCGGACACGAAGCCGCGGTCCTGCTGTAGGGCGGCGAGCTCCTGCTTGGTCATGTCAGCCTTCTTGATGGCAAGCATCCAGTCCGGCACTGCGCTGCCTGACGCCCGCACTGTGCGAGCAATACTGCACAACAGAAAACTTCCTTGAAAAAACGCTGTATTAAACTAAAATAAAGAACTAATAATCAGCAACAGAAAAAAACGTCCTCAAAAAAAAAAACCTATATGAAACTAAAATAAAGAAATAACAATCTGATTAAAGACGTCTTTCAGGAAAAATTTGTTGAAGAAGGGAAGGGGTTAGGTCATCGGTCGGGCGCCCGCCGTATTTACAAATGCAGCCTAAGTTGCAAGACGAGTCTTACGTAAATAATATAAAAAGCTTTATCGTGAACGTACCGGTGATAAATTTGGCAGGTCTTCTACACTTCCTTAGAGACATCGAATAAGTTGCCAACTTGGGAAAATTTTAGAGAGAAGCAATTTTCTCCAGTGTTACCAATACAGTACTTGGAAATGGTCCAAAGATGGCAGGTACCAACAAAACTCAGAAGCCGCACTATCAAAAAATTGCTATCTAAGTATACATAGCGACCGAAGTACACCCAGCGGACTAACTAACTGCACGTAGCGGCCATTAAGTACCTACCTATATATACACGTAGCAACCCAAGTACACGTAGCGGCGTATTTCTAGTCTGTGATTGGCGGATTTAGCTTGAATATTTGAATAACCATCAATGATAGACTGGCGGACTTACAAACTCGGAACTATTTCTGACAGTCCAGCGAACTCACATTCCCAGCATTGGTCTGTCCGCCATGGTCCAGAAGGTGACGGCCTTGCCCTTATGCTGGGCACGACCCGTCCGCCCGATACGGTGTACGTAGGACACGAGGCTGGGCGGGAAATCGTAATTAATGACCAGGTTGACGCCCTTGAAGTCGATGCCCCGGGACATGAGCTCCGTACACACCAGCACCCAGATCTTCTTCGCCCTGAACGCCCGTACGCACGCCTCGCGCTGCAACAAACAAACAAGTCAGTGTGGTAGAAGAAGTAGGTACGTCAGTGCGCAGTTATCACTGATGTAACACTATAATACCTATATATATCATATAATAAGAACTCAAGAATTTAGAAGCAAAGAAAACCGTCAAAAAATTTACAGTTTCTTAAGAATGAAAACGTTTCGGAGTCCAGCTCCATCGTAAGTTTAAACCCTATGAGACAAGTAGAATCGATTAGAAAACTAAAATCCCATTGAAAATAAAAATCTAAATTGACAAATCTGACTAAAAAGGAGCTGTACTCCAAAATCTTTTTATTCTTAAGAAATTGTGAATTTATTTACCGTTTCTCTTTGCTTTTAAATTCTTGATAAACTTGCGATTTACGCAAGCAAATGAGCTCAACAATTATAAGAACTACCGTAGGTATGTTAAGGAAATAATGATCTAATAATATTGCTAAAAATATTGTAGAAATGGTTTCAGATGAAAACGTCATGAACGAAAATGAAAAGAATTCATTCATTACCCTGAGCCAGAGTGCGGTCGCCGTGTATGGCATCCACCATGACCACAGTCTATTTTCTTTGCTTTTAAATTTTTGCTAAACTTGCGATTTAAGCAATCAAGTGATCTTAATAATAATAAGAACTATGTCAAGAGAATAATGATCTAATTATATTTATAAAAATATTGTAGACATGGCTTCAGATGAAAACGTCATGAACGACAATGAAGAGAAATCGTGAGTTTGCTGTTACTAATACTGATAAAAACCATGGCTAGAACTCAACTATCCTGCCGTGGATGGCATCCACCATGACCACAGCGCCACTACACACCTGGGCCTGGGTGCGGTCGCCGTGGATGGCATCCACCATGACCAGAGCCCCACTACACACCTGGGCCTGGGTGCGGTCGCCGTGGATGGCATCCACCATGACCACAGCCCCACTACACACCTGGGCCTGGGTGCGGTCGCCGTGGATGGCATCCACCATGACCACAGCCCCACTACACACCTGGGCCTGGGTGCGGTCGCCGTGGATGGCATCCACCATGACCACAGCGCCACTACACACCTGGGCCTGGGTGCGGTCGCCGTGGATGGCATCCACCATGACCAGAGCCCCACTACACACCTGGGCCTGGGTGCGGTCGCCGTGGATGGCATCCACCATGACGTCGTCGTACACGAGCTCCATGAAGAGCTGCCGCGCGCGCTCCTTCGTCTGCACGAACACCAGACATGGCGGCTCGAAGCCCTGCACGGGGGGAGGGGGGGAGATGGATCAGATTATGGGACCAGATAAATCAAATCCCTCATAACTGGGTGACGTCATGGAGTTATGGTACGCCACCAGATAGATTATAAAGCCATCCGATAGGTAGATTATAACGCCACTAGCACTATGCCGATAAAGTAGTATAAAACATTGAGGAAAAAAACAAGTGAATAGTAAATTCCCAAAAGCCGTAACAAGAAGAAAAAACAATTGAGTGACAAGTAAATTAAGCTCATATAATACCTAAATCCCCAAAAGCCGTAACAAAAAAAAAAAAAGCTCGTAATAAGACGCGAGTTTCACCTTGGCAAGCAAGTTCCTGAGCGCGTAAATCTTGCCGTTCTCGTCGCCGCAGAAGACAAGTTCCTGAGCCACGTCTTCAGACGCAGAGTTTCTGGACAAATGACGAGGAATTAGGTCACAATAATTTATGTGTCATCTTGTCCAACTAATGACACACTCGAGCCACGTCTTCAGACGCAGAGTTTCTGGACAAATGACGAGGAATTAGGTCACAATAATTTATGTGTCATCTTGTCCAACTTTATCAGAAAATTTAACCTTATATCGCAATAGTAATTAGAAGGTCATGTAAATCTTAATTATTCACTATACCGATGACAAGCATTGTTGGAAAAATTTATGTGTCATCTTATCAAACTAATGACGCGTTTTCTTGCTCGCAACACCACGCAGCACTGAAACGCTCTTTTGCAGGGTCAAAACGTGTCAAGATGACCCGAAGCAAAATAATTATAAGAGATGGATTCATTCAGACAAATTCTCCATCATGTTTTTGAGTGTTATTTCCACTGTCCGCCAAGTGGCAAACCAAGATTTTTTGGGGTGGATATCAACTGTTATGAGTTCATTGCCATTTTATGTGATGGAAACGAGGACACCGAGCAAAAAATATTGGCTGCGTTCCGTCATCGTAGTCAGCTATTTAAAAATATAGTAGAAATTACTTTTAATTTTTACTTTTTAACCTACAATTGAAATTTCTGGCTTTTCTCATTTGAAATTGAGAAATTTCAATCAAAATATGTTATATTGCAAAGCAATACTATACTAGGATGTTGAAATAGCGTCAATGATATCAGTTACACTTGTGGCTAAGCGGCTGACTCACTTGGCGCCCACCTTGAGGCATGACTCACTTGGCGCCCACCTTGAGGCATGACTCACTTGGCGCCCACCTTGAGGCATGACTCACTTGTTCGAGCCACGTCTTCAGACGCAGAGTTCCTGGACAAATTACGAGCATTAGGGCACAATAGGTAATTTATGTGTCATCTTGTCCAACTAATGACACATTCGAGCCACGTCTTCAGACGCAGAGTTCCTGGACAAATTACGAGCATTAGGGCACAATAATTTATGTGTCATCTTGTCCAACTAATTACGCGTTTTCTTGCTCGCAACACTACGCAGAGAGTGGACGCAGCACTGAAACGCTGCTTCGCCGGGTCAAAATGGGTCAGGATGACCCACGCCAGGGCAATAAGAGATCATAATTTGGACAAAGTCTTTATTATTTTTTGAGAGTTATCTCCAATATAGGCTGTTTCGTCCGCGCGCTCAGCCATTCAACAATACAGCTAAAAATATCACTTTTTAACCTACAATTGATTTTTTCTCTCATTTGAAATTGAGGAATTTTAATCATAATATGTTATACTGCAAGGCAATTCTATATTGGTATGTTAGAATAGCGCCAATGATATCAGCTACACTACAGGCTAAACGGCTGACTCACTTGGCGCCCACCTTGAGGCATGACTCACTTGGCGCCCAAATAAAGACACGACTCACTTGGCGCCCACGTCAAGACATGACTCACTTTGCGCCCACGTCAAGACATGACTCACTTGGCGCCCACATTAAGAAGGGCGACGCAGTTGAGGTTGTCGAGGCACCACTGCTGCAGGGGCGCCGAGTGCGTGGCAGAGAAGAGGCCGCGCTGTAGCTTGGGGCCCGCGCACGCCTGGTAGATCTGCGCCAGCTGCTCCCTGAAGCCCCGCCTGCCGCCCTCGAACAGATGATCGCACTCGTCCATGATAAGCCACTCCACGCTGTATAGTGAGAGGGGTGTTAGTGACAGGTGGTCTAGTGAGAGGGTGTTAGTGACAGGTGGTCTAGTGAGAGGTGGTCTAGTGACAGATGGTCTAGTGACAGATGGTCTAGTGACAGATGGTCTAGTGACAGATGGTCTAGTGACAGATGGTCTCGTGACAGCTGTCTTAACTCACTTATCAAGCTTAATGAGAGGCTCGTCGCTGTTGATCATGTACACAAGGCGGTTGGGAGTCGTCACCAGGATATCTGCAACACAAACGCAAATATCAATGCATGTATCATAACAAATGCAAAATATCAATTCATATACTCATAACAACGCAATTCATAACAACGTAATTGAGTCCAAAAAGAGTTATTCTTTGAATAAAAAAAAAAGATTTGGTATTGTTTCTCCAATGAAAGAGAAACCAAACCAAATGACTCACCAAATTTTTGTGACGATTTTAGCCCAAACTTCTTGGCAATTTTATCAACTTTATTGATGACTCACCAAATTTTTGTGATGATTTTGGCCCGAACTTCTTGGCAATTTTGTCAACTTTATCGATGACTCACCAAATTTTTGTGATGATTTTGGCCCGAACTTCTTGGCAATTTTGTCAACTTTATCAATGACGTGGACTTTAAGTCCCGTGCCCCTGGCAAGGAACTCGCACTCCCTGAAGGTCTGGTCAGCAAGCTCCCTGGTGGGGGCCACAATCACCGCCCTGAACCCCAGCGCGCGGGGCCTGCCGAGCTGGTGGATAATGGGGAGAAGGAAGGCTGCTGTTTTGCCTGCAAAAAATCACTTTGTAATAATTGTAAGCTTTGTAAAAATTGTGTAAAACTAAAATGCTTTGTAAAAATTAAGTAAAACTAAAATGCTTGGTAAAAATTGTGTAAAACTAAAATGCTTTGTAAAAATTGAGTACCGGTAATGGCAAAACTAAAATGCTTTGTAAAAATCGAGTAATATCAAACTAAAATGCTTTGTAAAAATTGTGTAAAACTGAAATGCTTTGTAAAAATTGTGTTTAACTAAAATTCTTTGTAAAAATTGTGTAAAACTAAAATGATTTGTAAAAATTGCAAGTTTATCCAACATAATTCAAACTAAAATAATGAGCACAAAGAGGACAGATGTAACCAGTACGAGGTTAGACTGATTCACAAGCGTTCTGAGACACAGAACTGCAGCAAGTAGGGGACTAGCAAACATGTAATAATGCTTAGATGCTTCAATTTCATTTGTGTACCCCCAATTCCTTCAATGATAAAAGAATGAATTACAACACAAGTCAAGTCCTCAACATACATACGCTTTACTACTCTGTCCATTACATTGAAATATGGTATAGTATTCATACAGAAATAATTCACCGTTTGTGTAGAATCTGCTTCCAGTAAATTTGTAATAGCCTGACACTGAGCGTTAGACTAACAGACTATAGAACTACGAGAAAAATACCCTACAACACTTAAAATAAAAAACTAAGAAGTGCTGCACAAAATTCAAATTCACTGAGGTAATTGTCACAGAATATAAATAAAAATTCAGTGACGTAATTGGCACTGAATATTAAATTAATTTACGTAGGTGATATATAGTAAGATATTCACTAATACATGAAAATTCAATAAGATGACTGTCACAGGAAATGATACTAAATTCACTACCTATACAAATTGCACATTGCAAACATCAAGACCAACAAGTAAGACATGTGACTGACCTGATCCTGTGGGGGCGGAGGCGAGCAGCTCCCTGCCCCCCAGCATGAGGGGCCAGCACTGCATCTGAATAGGCGTGGGTTCTGTGTAGCCTTGGGACCTCAAGTTCTGCACCAGCACCGAGCTCACTCCGTGCTGGGTCTCCAACTGGTGAATGCGAGCTGGGTAAATGGTCATAATTAGCACAGAATTGCTTGCTCCATTAGCTTGCACACAATGTATAGGACTCCCAACAACATGCTGAGGTAATGGCAGCAGTCAAGTAGAAGTATTAGAGCAATGATCAAATTAATCACAAAAATTTCACATTAGTCATTAGCTGCAATTATAGACTTCATTACACTCAAACTATTGCATTCCATAGAAATATTTCGTTTAATCAAGTAGTGGAATGATGATAGATATAAAATACTGGATAAAATAGCATAACATGTTTCTAAGTTTTAATCAAATGTAGCAAGTTAGATCAAGGCTTATAGTTCAATAACCTAAAATGTCATTAGCAAAAAAAAAAAAATCCAGCAAATATTGCTGAGCAGGATGATGTGCCAGATTTTAAATAGAGTGGACATCAAATCAATGTTTCAGCTGTTATGAAATTGTCAAATTTTTTCAGTGATTATAATTGATTGAACAACATGAGAAAAGATATAGGGGCATAATATGAACAACATGCACTGCAATGCCCTCTAACTTTTTAATTAGGTGCTAATCATTGCATATAGGTAAGTGATAATTACAGCATCACTTGCCCTTTGCAGCTCTGCAACAAGCACACATAACCTCATGAGTAGAAGAAAAAAATTTTGCTGAACAAAATTTACCTGAGCAAAGTCAGTGATTGGGTCAGGGATGTCGGAGCCCCGCACTCTGATGTTGTTTTCTTTGCGCACACGTTTTATCTGAAAGATGAAAAAAGTTTAATTTTTCCAATGAATGGATTACTGAGAAAAACTTGATAAAGTTCTGATATTCCATTCAAGATTCCTGAACTATTTAACACATTTATGTGATCCAAGATGCAATTAATATAATTACTTGTACTTTCATGTGTACTGTACCTACATGTACAAGCAATCAATCAGTAATAAGGTGAAACAAGAGTTCCTAAATATAGTCAAACAATTACCATAATTCAACATGATAATAAGGAATGAGTGGCGCAACTGACTTGCAGAAACAGTCTAGACCGCCATTGCTGATTGCTTTGAGTTCTCACCTTGATTTTGTGTTGCCAAACTTTGGAGCCTTCAGCTTTCTTGGGGACATTCTCTGCCCCATCACCACATTCATCTGAGAACAATAAAAAATATTTACCATAACCCATAATTTATCAGATATCAAGAGCATGTGCAACATTAATCATGAATGACTACAACAAGGCATTATAATTCATGCTTTGAAAACGTGTAACTTATGCAAATATAGGTACATAAGAAATCTTCATGACTTATGGAACATCTCCAGATGATGTTTATCACTTTAAAGAAGATGCATTTTAACTAATAATGTTGTTTACCAAATATATTTATAAAGCAAGAAAGAGGATTAAAACACTCACCCAATTAATTTGAAAATATTATGAAAACATATCTCATCGTTTGAGACCATTGAAATATAAGCTGAGTTTTTAACATCCGTGGCCACATGCACTAAATATTTCCATGTCTTTCGGGGCAAATCTAAATGATTTTCAAGCAGATTAGAGAATGTTTGCAAGTTTCAACAATGCATGATAACAATGGCTTCAAAAAGAGCTGGTAACACTGAAGTCGATCAGGAATTGTTACCAGAAAGAAGTTGAAGGATTTTTAATACAAAAATTACCCACTTTCAGATTCCTCATTGTCCTCTTCTTTGCAAACTGATGAGTTTGTGGTTGGTTTAGCAGAAGCTGATGACTGGAGCTGCAAAAAATGAAGCACTAGTGTTAAAAATCATTTCCGATGTGATTGTGAATCATATAATCAACAAATTTTTTAGTTTGTGACTTTGTGTTCCAAGTATTGCTTGAGAATATAGAAATTTGGACTTTTTCTTTAACCGTCAAGCCCAGACTCATGGAACAGGAATAGAAACTAAAGTTAGTCTGACATAAATNGAACGGGGCTACTCGGGACACTTGGAATAAAACTTCATTTTAAAACATTTGAAGCATGCAGAGTGTACTCATCCATTACTAACAGTACTCTGAAGTCCTCCTCTTTCATTGTAGATGATGTAGACTTGTAGAGGTAGAATACATGACATTTTCTGTGATTTTTACTTTTTTTTTCTTTATTGATATGATATTACCACATTCATTAATTACCTTATTCTTTATGCGATATTAAGCTACCATATCAAAAACTATCCATGAACATGCCATTGAGCATTTACAACAACCTTGTCCACTGCAAGCTTCATATCAGCAGCCTTATAGCATTTTTTCTGTATCTGTAAGTGTAAGCTTACAGGACGGCTTGTAATTTCAGCCAGATTCACAGTCATGAGTCATTTTTGTCCTAGTTCCATTTGGCTAGTAGCCTAGTACCCACTATGCAGAGGGTTGATGCAGCGTCGCCAATATATGGATTTTTGAGCCCAAAGCGTCGCCGGCCATTTTAAAGATGCGTCGCCGGGTAATTTTTAATGAAAAGCCATTTACGCTGAGTAATGACGAACTATTTACAAGCCACGAACTTATTTACAAGGTTGCATGCACGTGTTACTCCTGTCTCTTATACACATCTNAGAGCCCCACTACACACCTGGGCCTGGGTGCGGTCGCCGTGGATGGCATCCACCATGACCACAGCCCCACTACACACCTGGGCCTGGGTGCGGTCGCCGTGGATGGCATCCACCATGACCACAGCCCCACTACACACCTGGGCCTGGGTGCGGTCGCCGTGGATGGCATCCACCATGACCACAGCCCCACTACACACCTGGGCCTGGGTGCGGTCGCCGTGGATGGCATCCACCATGACCACAGCCCCACTACACACCTGGGCCTGGGTGCGGTCGCCGTGGATGGCATCCACCATGACCACAGCCCCACTACACACCTGGGCCTGGGTGCGGTCGCCGTGGATGGCATCCACCATGACCACAGCCCCACTACACACCTGGGCCTGGGTGCGGTCGCCGTGGATGGCATCCACCATGACCACAGCCCCACTACACACCTGGGCCTGGGTGCGGTCGCCGTGGATGGCATCCACCATGACCACAGCCCCACTACACACCTGGGCCTGGGTGCGGTCGCCGTGGATGGCATCCACCATGACCACAGCCCCACTACACACCTGGGCCTGGGTGCGGTCGCCGTGGATGGCATCCACCATGACCACAGCCCCACTACACACCTGGGCCTGGGTGCGGTCGCCGTGGATGGCATCCACCATGACCACAGCCCCACTACACACCTGGGCCTGGGTGCGGTCGCCGTGGATGGCATCCACCATGACCAGAGCCCCACTACACACCTGGGCCTGGGTGCGGTCGCCGTGGATGGCATCCACCATGACGTCGTCGTACACGAGCTCCATGAAGAGCTGCCGCGCGCGCTCCTTCGTCTGCACGAACACCAGACACGGCGGCTCGAAACCCTGCACGGGGGGAGGGGGGATCAGATTAGTGGACAAGGGCCTATGCTTTCAAAAAAAGATAAGAGATCGTAAGTTCATCCGCCAGTCATTGACGGCCTTTCAAGCAAAATCCACCAATCTTAGACAAAAGAATAGAGCGTAAGTACTTACGTTCACTTAGCAAATTTTGAAAATTTGGGATCTGATAAACCAAAACCCCCATAACTGGGTGACGTCATGGAGATATGATACCAGATAAATTATGAAGCAATTAGATAGATTATAACAATCAGATAGATTATAAGGCCACCAGATACATTATAACGCCAGTTGGCCGATAAAGTACTACCTAGTAGGTATATAACATCAAGAAATAACAATTAAATGAATAGTAAATTTAGCTCATATAATTCTCCATGGTAAGTGGGGCCCTCCATGGTAGCTGGGGCCCTCCATGGTGAGTGGGGCCCTCCAGGGTAATACAAATAATATATGCCCAAAATCATTCACAAGATAAGCTCGGAATAAGACGCGAGTTTTACCTTGGCCAGCAAGTTCCTGAGCGCGTAAATCTTGCCGTTCTCGTCGCCGCAGAAGACAAGTTCCTGAGCCACGTCTTCAGACGCAGAGTTCCTGGACAAATTACGAGCATTAGGGCACAAAAATTTATGTGTCATCTTGTCCAACTAATGACACACTCGAGCCACGTCTTCAGACGCAGAGTTTCTGGACAAATGACGAGGAATTAGGTCACAATA